TATTGTCGTTTATAAAAAGAATTATAAAATGTAAAAAAAAAAAAAAGATAGCATTATAACAGGCGAAAGCGATTCCGGACACCCGGGTGGCTTACTAATCGGGTGTTGTCTGGATCTCGCAAATGTTTAGTGCAACACCCCCAGCGCAACACAAGGAAAACATGAGGAGTTTATTAAGATACTACAGACGCTGATGAAGACATTAGACTATACATTTTATACATTGCTACAGAGATATTAAATAACTAAAAAATAAATATTAAGTAAATGAAATTTCACAGATAAATACGAATGCTGAAACAGATATTAAATACTAATGCAGGTATTATACAGATAAACAGACGCTAAATACGCTACTACATACTGCACAGGTATTAAAAACGAATGTTGAAACAGCCTCGAAATACTAATGCGAGACACTACACAAATCCGCAGATTCTAGATATACTACTATATACTCCACAGATACTAGATATTATATAGATACTCAGATACTATATTATACTGATTAAATAGATCCTCTATACATTATTATTTACGACAAAGATATTAGACATTACTGAGACATACAGATACTAGCGCAGATACACAGATACGATAAAATACGAAAGAACTCAGATATACAGATATAAGGTATTTCTCCCGCTTTTCCAGCATGCCGTCGTGGTGTAGTGGTTCTGCACGCTAGGCCGGTATTCCAGAGGTCCGTGGTTCGATTCCCGGCGAAGGTGGTTGCTAATTTTTCTATTCTCCTGCTTCCAAAAATATACCTAATGTCTCTACACAGATACTAAATACAATATTACACAGATATTAAGTACGAATACACTAATGCAAGTATTTACACAAATCCACAGATACTAAATACACTACTCCATATTACATAAATAGTAAATACTGATACAGATACACATATACTAAAATATAGTGGTAAACATATGCTATCACACGGGTATTAAATGCGAATGCAGATAACAGTATAACAGTTTACCAATAAAAAATGGATGTATTAAAGGCCGCCCAACCAGTATAGTGGTTAGCGACTCTGACTGCTGTACCGAAGGGCTCGGCTCCAGTCCCGGAGAAGGCATGGATGCTCGTAAATGTACAGTGTCTGTGCGACTTGAGGGTACGCTAAATATGTGTTGAGCCGAAAGTCCTCTCAAGAGGTAGGTGGTAGGGAAAGAAGGATGAGACCATCGAACACGTCCCCCTTCGCGGTGATCTCCTGCAAAATTTGGGCCGAAACTGAGCAATGTTGCACTGCCACCTGTATAAAGCCCAAGGCTCTTGCCAGCGACATGCGTAATCTTGCTTCCATGTTACAATGAACTTGCTCTAATATCAGACAAACGAGATTAATCGCAAGAACATCAACGTATTAAAGGCTTTAAATGTTTTATTTATTAAGTAAAATACATCTAATGTTTTCGGGGTTCAAACAAAAAATATGTATAAAGAATTTAATCCGAAATTTTATTTTAATTATTAACAGCGTTTCTAAATTTAGACACGGGTTACTCTCATTATGTATCATCGTAACTTTATCAGTACATACAAAAGTATTTCTTATTAATTTATTACAGAAAAAGAATTACATCTGAAAAGAAGGACTAAATGTTTGTTTTCTATTATTTCTTTTTTAATAAACAATTTACTATATTTCTGTTTTATAATCATAGATGAGATCAATGCAAAAGTTTTGAATTAACAATATGGGGGAAGAGAAATCTGAAACCTCACCGCTATGCCAGTAATTGAGCACTGGGTAGCTTGGATGGACAATAGAAGCACAACAGCAATCATAAAATCAATGTCAGATGTTGCTCATTCTCCATCACTTTCAATACAGATTGACTGCGAAAGTTGGAAATGATTTTTTACATGTACACTGCGAATAAAAAAAGGGGTGACAGTTCCATATCTCCCATTCTACTCGGCCGATTGAAGGAATTTAAATTGTGTTTTTCATGTCTCGAAAGCGCTACTTAAGATACTTATATATAGCATTGTTCTAATATAGGTATTTTGACAGAAAAATCGGACTTTTTCTGAAAGGGCATGCCAGTTTTTTTCATTCTACGACTTATTATTATTTCTTACTTACTTTTCATATTTCCATTCTACGACTCAAATCATGCCTAGATATTAAATTCTGTAGATTTTTGTGAAAAATTTAAGGAGAAATTTAAAAATTTATCTTGGCGTATTTTTTCAGTTTGCTCCAAGAATAATTAACTTGGCGAGCTCCTTAATTTATAGCAACTTATTTTCCTTTCCTTTTTTTCGTTGAACAGGAAAGGAAAAAAAGGCGTCGTTCATACCTCCAAATAATATTAACAAAGTGCGTAAACCACATTTGGTGTTATTATCGCTTATAAGAAATATGCCAAATTTCAAAACACGCCTATATTTGAATTCACGTGCAGTATATGTTAGGTAATTTTGAATAAGAAATCTAATTTTTTGCAGGTATGCTTAGAAATACATCTGCTTTAAGATGAAGGTAAGAAATTTATAGGTTATAGTTCATTTTTTTTCGAAAGATTTATAAAAATTATTTTAAAACACCAATTTTTAAAATAAATGATAAAAAAGGGCGAACATTATTTGGAAAGAACCTAAATTTCGAAATGTCAAAGGAAGAATCAAATAAGTTTAATAAAAAAAGAGATATTAATAAATACATATCAAATTGAATTAAAACTGAGGAGCTAAAATTTTGAGAGTTAATGTTTTAAAAAATACTCGTGCGATTTTTTACAGAACTTGGCAGTTTGGCATAATTTGAGCTCTAGAATCGAAATCTGGAAACAAATTGGCATGTCATTTCAGAAAATGTCCGATTTTGTGTCAACATACCTACATTATAATAATGCTATATATAAATCTAATACATATCCTAAGTCGCACTTTCGAGACATGAAAAACGCAAGCTGAATTTCGTCGAGCGGCCAAGTAGAACGGGAGATATAAAAGAAATGTCCCCCCTTTTTTATTTGCACAGTGGGCGTGTCCATGGACACTGTGCAAGACCAAAATGTCTCCAAATTTTACGACTTTTTACCAAATTCGTCGATAAAAATTAGTCGCCTAAACCATCGCCAACTTGGCGATATCTCGCCAATATAGCAGGATAGCCATTTACTTCAATGTTAAATAGACTTGCTGTTTTAAAAAGCTCCTTTTTAAAACATAACTCTTGAAAAGTTTATATAAGATAAAATGTGGATGAAATAAATTATTAAATTGTATTGAAATAGATTTCTCAAGTCTACTTTCTAATTTGGTTATCTCTCCTTCCTGCCCTAGAAATAGCAACTGCGTCTAGTTATAATAAAATATATATTAATTATTTTTATGTCGGGAAAGTTGGAGGTAATCGTAATAGATTAAGGAATATGAAACCGCACTGGATGGTTTCTAAAATAACTACCAGTTTTCTCGTTCTTTACTACTTTTGCTTTCTAACGTCCAATTAGTCTTTCTAAAACTGGAATTACTACTTTTATTCTGAATAAAGGGGAAATCCAGGAATTATCACATTTTCTGTGGGATTGTATCTAATTTTGGAAAGATTAATTTGGATTTTATTTAAGTACATAATTGTTCACAAAATGTATTAGCTGCCTAACATGTTCTTAATTTATTATTCATGAAAAAAAAAAAAAAAAAAGCGTAGCACAGACGTAATAAGTATGGTTATATTGCATCCAAAGAAGTGCCTATATAGCCTTTTAATTTCGCAACGACTGGCCTTGCAGATATAATTTCAGTTACAAAACTACTTTAAATTTATGTTTTAGCGCTTTATAAACTAAAAAATCAATTACGTAAAATTATTAAATTACATTTCATACATTATTCCAATTCTTTTAGTTACATTTAATGGAAGTTGAAACTTATATGACCAAAACTGACTAAGTTATCTGAATTTTAAAATTTAAGATCATGTTTCTGGAAAACTAAGAAGCCATCCGTAAACTAAAGAATGAAATATTTAAATGTGAATGTCATTAAAACGAAATCAGTTTAGGAAAATGTTTCTGTTGTAAACAGATTAAGTAAGGAGCTTCAATATGCACACTGTCTTGGAAAGTTTAGATCAATTAAAATTTTTCCGCATAAAGGAGAGCTTATTCATATACAATATTATAGAATTTGTGTCCTAAGACAATAGACTTTAAGCATTTAAATTAGTTCTAGACAGTAGAGGTTAAGCATTCTCATGTAGCTTATTCATAAAGTTACTGGCTTAAAAAAGAAATGAAAAATATTTCTAATCCTATGAATTTTTGCGTGACAGTAAGATAATAATCCTGAAATAATAAAAATGCATGGGAATATTATTAATATATTTTAGCACAGCAATTCACAGCCGGTGAGAGAGGGGAATTTCCCTCTGGTAGAAATTTAATAGATTTAATTTCAGGGAAGAATGCTTTCATCCTTTACTGATATAAAGTAGCTTTACCTCAGGAATATAAAAAAAAACTACTTTTATTCAAATTTTGGGACTTCTCAGCATTTTACATACTTTTTGTTTAATTCATAAAATAGGTAAAAAAATAACTAAATCTAAATAAATATATATATGTGTTTTTCGAATTTTGGAAAGGAATTATCTTCTAGCAACAGCGAAGAAAGTAAATGAGGCAAGCCCGGTTGAGAAACACTATTTTGGCATTTGAATAACCTAAAAACTACTCGCATGAAAATGCTTTTGCCATGTCAAATGTAATAAAATTGTAAATTAAAGAATACTACACATTAATAAATCAAAAAGGAATACTGCTGACTGATATAAAACGCATTTAACTTCGAGTAATTCTAATTTATTATAATCGAACACTTAAAAAAAGCGATAAAGTTTGGGTTTTCGCATTCAAGATTCCAAAAATGTGTCAAATTTTTAAATTAAATATCTCTGACAATTATTATTGTGTCAAACTCAAATGTTTATTTATTTATTCATTTTATTTTATTTTATCTTACATCAGAAAAAGCTGAGAGAAAAAAGTATATGAGGTATGTATGCATTCACCTATCCTTCAAGGTCAAAGAGAAAAACCTCATCGCTCCTGTCCTCCGGCAACGTGAAAGAGCGACAAAATTTTCTCCTATCTGGCATGTGGTGGGTGCGCTTATGGCATCATGTGGAAAAAACTTTCCTTAGCAATAAATTTGCTGCAATTTGTTATTATGTCTCAAGCATTATTTTTAATATTTAATAATGTTTTTACCCGAAATATTGCGTGCAGTGCAGTTTTTAATTTCTTGAGTTAATTTATTTTGTTAATTTTACTGCTCTTTGTTAGACAAAGTTTGAATATGTTGCAAAATAAAACAATAAAATAATTGATTCACTTTAGTCTCATCTTTATTTAATAATACTTATTTATTATTTAATTTTCGTTCAATTGTATTGTGAAGTTTCAAAATGTGTATACAACTTTAGTTTGGAATGATTCTGCACTTTTTAATTCTCCTGTTCTCATTCCCATGCTGTTCATTCAGTAGCGAGTTTCACACGCTCTGTGATTCGATTCTTTAGAGAATTGAAGGTTTACTTGGAATGAGTATAAAAATTTGCTAAATAAACTTATAGTGATCATGGGAGCATTAAAAGTTAGACATCGTAATTAACACAAAATTTTTTTTATTTGAAAATAATATAGCATGCGATACTTTCCTTACTTAAAATAGTTTTGTAAATAAAATACATATTTACGACCGATGACTGTGGAAGTAAAGTATGTGACGTAATTATCATAACTGGAAGTAAAGCAATTATTTAAGCTTCGCAACATTTTAAAAGCCTGTCTCCTTATGTATTTGAATTTTAATATTACTGCAAGCAAAGAATCAAGCATTAACTTCGCACATTTGTTTAACTTTTATGAAAAAATCTTTTCGGGAAGAGAATTATTGAAAGTGTTTTACTTATGAAGCTTAAAAAACTTCGCATATTTGACGAAATATTATGAGAAGTATTTATTTTCTGACTTGAAATATATATTCGGTGTTCTGCTATGTTATATTATGTTACCGCACTTTCCTTCTATTACACTATTTGACATACTGTATAAGGTATTTCTCCCACCTTCCTAACGTGCCTTCGTGGTGTAGTGGTTCTGCACTCTGGGCCGGCATTCCAGAGGCCCGTGGTTCGATTCCCAGCGAAGGCGTTTGCTAATTTTTCATCTTGCGTGCTTCCATAAAATACCTAATGTCTCTACAACTGTAGTTCGGATATTACGCTCGCTTGCGTTGCGTATAACCACGTATAAATTTAAATAATCTTCAAATAATTTTTAACAGTGAGTCTTTGTTATGGCGCCTTTTAAGAAGGACACCACACACAAGTTATATTTACCAAAAATCCAAAACTAAATATTTCAAACATTGTGTTGTGATTTAAAATGACCGAAAATACCCTCGTGTGGATGGCTAGTGAGGATCATGAGTAAAGATTAAATAAAACATACAACTGTTATTTAAAGAAAAACCTGATATTTATTAATCAATAGAAGAGTACTTCTAAAATCATTTTAACCATTGAAATCATCAATATATATATATTAAATATTTAAACCTTTTCAACCCGAGTGAATAAAAAAAAAAAAAAAAAAAAAAAAAAAACAGAGAACATATGTAGAATTTGGATTGCACCGTCAACTCTATTCAGTTTAACAATTTCCACCGAAATCTATTATTCCTTCTTAATCAATTACTCAAATAATCTTCATAAAGGTTATTTTATAAAAGCACTTAGTAGAACCAATTATTTTTCCAACATATTGCACATAAAAAATCAATCAATACACAGCATTTAACAAATTTCCTAGAAAGATGATCTACTATTAAAGTATCATTGAATTCATTCAAGTGGTATTTGCTTAACCTTTCACTATTGAACCAATTTAATTCGCCAGTAAAAATTTCTTTACAGCAGGTACGAGAAAGTATTCTCAAACAGAAGAGCTTTAACTATTAATTAACAATAACAAAAAGATTTTCTTTCCTTGAGTCATAGTTAAAATTTTCCCCATCATCTCTTCAGTTACAATTAACGTAAAACTTTAGTATTATTGCTTAACAAGGTAGATCTTCATAAGTATTGAGTTAAACAATTATACTCTTACACAGATTAATCCTAACAATCCAAATTTTCAATTTAATCTAGGCAGAAATGGTTAGCTAAAGTGAAGTTTTGTCTAAACAAAATTAAAGTGGAAACAAAACTCTGAAATTCTGGCGGGAGGCAGCAAGGTCTGGGTGGAGCCACAATATAACAGGATTCGGATGTGAATGTCCAAAACTTCGCAGGAGTGCCATGGTGAACTTATGTAGTACATAAGGGAAGTCAGTAGAACCTAAGAAAATTGACTGAAACAATTAGATAGAGGAAATTGTCCGAAGACTTCTCGCAGTTTAAAGAAGAAGTTGGAGCCGGAACACACCTTCCCCTTGAAGACTCGCTCAGCCAGTTGATAGATCTTGAGGGGTAGCATATGGAAATAGAAAAATTCAAGAACAATGATTTGATAAACCTGTATAAATCATTTTAGCGAACTTCTATTGGATGGTTTTTAGAGGAACCCTTGACTGGAGTTATCATTTCAGAATCAGTTGAAGGCAGACGTATGGCATAGAGCAACATTGCCTTTTTTATTTATGGTTCAGCGGGTTTATTTAATTATTAAACTAACGGTTCTCAGGCCTAGGCCACGAGAATGCAGCAGGTCGCCTGCCATCGGAGGTTTGAAGACTAATATTTTCTGCGACCAAGAAAACCAGAGAACATGCTGAGGGCCCGAGGCAACCAGATGAGAACGACGAGAAGGAGCAAGAGAAAGAGGCCGAAATCCCGACTTTTATCTCTTTATAGCAGATATGACGAGACTGCCACACTGGCTAACAAACACCCGAAATTGTGAAAAAAACAGTTTTTACAACCAACGCCTCATGCTATGTAAAATTTTTTATGTAAATGCGTATGCAAGGGGACTAAAAATCTTGTTAAAAACTGTGTTTCTTGTTAACAACCGTGTTTCTTGTTAAAAACTGTGTTCCTTCACCATTATGTCCTCACAATGAAAAATTAAAATCTCAGTTAAATAAAATTACTTTATCTTAAAATCTGTTAAGTCTAGAATTTTTAGTGATCTTAAAATAAGGAGCTAATTTTTCTGTTTTTATCGGTATAAATTAATAACGGTTAAACTTAAGTTAAGTACTATAAAATCAAGTTTATTACGTAGAAATTCACCCGATTCCTTTATGTATTTCAGCGCGTTTACAAGCAACGAGTGAAGAGAACTTACGAAATCTTTCTTACAAAAATCCCAATTAAAATTAAACAAAATCAGAACAAATATGAAATAAAATACATATTGTGTTGCATAAATTTAAAATATTAATAAATTAAATTTTTTATAAGTTGTAAATTAAATAATTAAGCTAATTTGCTACACAACATCTTTAAACTCGGAACGAAAAAAAAATATATATATATATACTTGTAAATTAAGTGGATTCCGTTAAACCCGTGAAAATATAAAAGATAAAAAATTTAATTTTATATAAAATTACAAAAACCAAAGTAGAACTGAAAATATCCAAAATATTTTGATAACATAAATTTTAGAAAACCTATAAACATATAATATGCAAAGCAGAAACTTTGTATCTGGTGTATATTTTAATTAAGACTCTACCGATTTCGAAGGCGAACATATGCAGGTCTCCCTTAATCAGGAAATTTATGACGAAGATTGTAGATTTCTTTCGTTCCTCAGATAACCTCAGAAAATTATTTCTTAATGCATATTTTAACTTTCATTTTTAATTGTCTAAAAGTATCCATTTTCATGTTTTAGCTCATTTTAATAAAATATTTAAATTACATAAATTGTTTTATAAGATACCTTTCCCTCATTTTTTTAATATTATTAGTCTGTTAAAGCTACCATATGCAAACACCTTTGTATTGACGACTACTGTATTATATAGCAGGAAGTTTTACTAAAAGTTATCATTGGCTTTACGAAAAAGCGCTAAAACCTGGGATTCTTAAGTAATATTTTGCAGGTTCAGTTTTTGGCATAGAAACAAAAAACACGAAGAGACGTATTAACACCAGCATTCTGATGTAGTACGTAGATAATAAAAATAAAAATCTCTCCTTCTGAAGAACGTTCCACAATACTATAATATTCATATATGATGAGGAACATCTGCATTGCAGTAAGTGTTACATGGTTTCTCGTGTATGCTCGACATTATTAAAATCTGTTAATAAATGATGATGTGAATGACGCCGTAGGAAACCAGCAACAGATGCACACTTCTAAACTAGTTCAGTTACGCCTGAGATACTATAGTGTGACGTTGTGTGTCTATCTGTTATAGTGAAGCGCATCCCGAGATGAGATCTGACTTCTTACTTGAACACAAGGTTAGCAGTTTTTAGTTTTTATTTATATATGAAGCATTCCTTTATGCCTTCCTCTGTTAGTTCGCATCTTAACTGATTAAACAACTCCGAAACGTTTTGTTATATATGTGGCATTTCACCCTTCCCAGTAAAATGACAAACATTAGTACATTTGTCAGGCAAGCCTATTTTGCTAATTTTAAAGTGAAAGTTGGTGATCAAGCTGAATCATGGGCCCTTCACAATGTGTGCAAACAATGTGTCAAGAGTTTATGGATGTGGATGAAAAGAACACGTTTGTAATTTCCATTTAGTATACCTATGATTTGGCTAGAGACCAATGATCATTCAAGTGATTGTTACTTTTTTATAGCGAACACATCAGGATATTACCCCCCCAAAACTAAAATAGACTATTCAAGTTAACCATCAGCTATATGCCCAGTGCCTCACATAGCTGAACTACCAGTGCCAGTTTTCAAAGAATTACCCTCTTTAGAAATATAGAGTTTCTAGTGGATATCGAACTGATCCCGACGACAAAGAGTTTGAAATTGAAGATGATTCCTTTCGCAAGGTATTTGACCAGCATGAGTTGAATGATTTAGCACAAGATTTAAAATCACCCAAAAAGGCTTCAGAGCTGTTAGCATCAAGATTGCACACGAAAACCTTGCTTGAAAATGGAGCTAAGGCATCCTACTTTTGATCAAGAGAATGTGCGTTTCTGCAATACTTTCGAAATGATTAGGATTTGTTCATTGCTATAACTTACATGGTTTAATGAAAAAGTTGGAAATATAAACCTATAACTGGACTCAATGGCGATTGTTCATATTGGACAGTATATTTTCCGACCATGCATTGCTATGTGATTTTGCATCATCTAGGTGTAACCTATGA